CTCCAAGCATCATACACACCTACTAGCAAGAAGGATAATGAATCTTGACGGTATAAAAGTAGTTTGACTGGCAACAGTTGGCTCCATCATACACCGGTGTAGGTCCCACGAGCACTGTGTGTACACCGACGACTCTGTCCAGTCAACAGAACAGACTGCAGCAACAGTCTGAATGTTATATAAAACATGTTTATACACAGACTATCAGTGATAGGTTAAATTGGTTGAGGTCTATACTAGCAGAAAGAAAGAACTATTAGGAGAAAGCACCAAGCCATTATGCTATAAAGTCGTTATAGCATATAACGCTGGCTATAACTGCTATAAAGCTGGCTCTGCTATACTAGCAGAGCCAGCTGCTCCACACCTAGTTACTAGTACACTGAAATGTACTTGTACTAAATGGAATATAAATCTATATCAATAAATTATAGATGATACACAAGACCCTTTAATATCCAGGGATCCCATCACAATAGTTGTACTATACATTTCACTTGTACTGTCCCGTTTTGAGTACTGCTCAGTACTCGCTTCCCCCTTCAGAGCAGGAGACATTGCTGAAATAGAGGGAATATAGAGAACATATACGCCATACATAGACGCAATAAAACACCTAAATTACTGGAATCGTCTCAAAGCTCTCTAAATGTACTCACTAGAAAGGTGACGAGAGAGATATCAAATAATATACACGTGGAAGATACTGGAGGGCCAGGTCCCAAATCTACACAGTAAAATAACAACATACTGCAGTGAACGATATGGAAGAAAATGCAGAATAGAACCAGTGAAGAGCAGAGGTGCCATAGGCACAATCAGAGAACACTGTATAAACATCAGAGGTCCGCGGTTGTTCAACGTCCTACCAGCTAGCATAAGAAATATTGCCGGAACAACCGCGGACATCTTCAAGAGAAACCTAGATTGTTTCCTCCAAGACGTGCCGGACCAACCGGGCTGTGGTAAATATGTGGGCCTGCTGGCCGCTCCAAACAAGAGCCTGATGGACCAAACTCTCACAAGTCAAGCCTGGCCTCGGGCCGGGCTTGGGGAATAGAACAACTCCCAGAACCCCATCAAGCAGGTATCAAGACATAACTACACCACTGTGACAGCAACACACGTGGTCTCACTCTCCACCATTACTGACACTAGCGTGCGTGCGAGCGTGAGTTTCTAAGACGGTCATACGAAAGTGACATCGTGCGACATAATCGTGTGAAGACGGACATGATGACGTTTAAAAACACCAAGAGTGACACTTAGACACGGCAACGTGAATAGCAAGTTAATGGTCACAAAAATAGAGCCATAAAAACGAAAGTAATAATATCGAGGCGGTGAAAGTCACGGCAGCAGCAGGAACAGCGGTGACAGTTTCCTCACACACCTGTACGTGTCGCCTGCGTGTCCGGCCTCACACACACCTGCACGTCTCACCTGTGTGTCCGGCCTCACACACACCTGCACGTCTCACCTGCGTGTCCGGCCTCACACACACCTGCACGTCTCACCTGGGTGTCCGGCCTCACACACCTGTACGTCTCACCTGGGTGTCCGGCCTCACACACCTGCACGTGTCGCCTGCGTGTCCGGCCTCACACACCTGCACGTCTCACCTGGGTGTCCGGCCTCACACACCTGTACGTCTCACCTGGGTGTCCGGCCTCACACACCTGCACGTGTCGCCTGCGTGTCCGGCCTCTCACACCTGTACGTATCGCTTGCATGTCCAGCCTCACACACCTGCACGTGTCGCCTGCGTGTCCAGCCTCACACACCTGCACGTGTCGCCTGCGTGTCCGGCCTCACACACCTGTACGTATCGCCTGCATGTCCAGCCTCACACACCTGCACGTGTCGCCTGCCTGTCCGGCCTCTCACACACCTGCACGTGTCGCCTGCGTGTCCGGCCTCTCACACACCTGCACGTGTCGCCTGCGTGTCCGGCCTCACACACCTGCACGTGTCGCCTGCGTGTCCGGCCTCACACACCTGCACGTGTCGCCTGCGTGTCCGGCCTCTCACACCTGCACGTGTCGCCTGCGTGTCCGGCCTCACACACCTGCACGTGTCGCCTGCGTGTCCGGCCTCACACACCTGCACGTATCGCCTGCGTGTCCGGCCTCACACACCTGCACGTGTCGCCTGCGTGTCCGGCCTCACACACCTGCACGTCTCACCTGGGTGTCCGGCCTCACACACCTGCACGTGTCGCCTGCGTGTCCGGCCTCACACACCTGCACGTCTTACCTGCCTGTCCGGCCTCACACACCTGCACGTCTTACCTGCCTGTCCGGCCTCACACACCTGCACGTCTCACCTGCCTGTCCGGCCTCACACACCTGCACGTCTCACCTGCCTGTCCGGCCTCATACACCTGCACTTCTCATGTGCGTGTCCAGCATCAGACATGGTTGTAGTGGACATGGCGGCGAGGGAGGGGGAGGTGCTGCTAAAAGATATTAACATTACTCCTCATCACGTGGCAGAGATTAACATTAGGGAAGAGTATTATCCAGTGTTGTCACGGGTTGATACCTTGTAAGCCTGTCAATGTGTTTGAGGTTGGAGGGAGTATTAATGTGGTGTACACGTGTGTTGCTTACATATGTTAGTCAACCTCGTTATCTCCAGCCTCAAAATACAATTATTCCTTCTCTGAATACCTATTTGTTTAAGTAATATGTGATATAATCAGGAATAATTTGATGTGGTTAGCCGACCCGTCCTCTCTAACAAGTACATCGCATTTTGACGTATCAAATTCACATACGGCCAAAAAGTAATGTATTAAGTCACAGCAGCTCGTAAAATTGACGCCATGTTCCGTTTTCTATTCCATGGTCACCTGACCAACTAGAGCGTCGCATTTTGACGTATACTATAAGGCCAAAAATGGTAGCGGCTCGCGAAATTGACATACTGTCCGAATTTCAGTTTTGGGTCCTCTGATAGGTTAGAATAAGGGCACTTTAGTACCACAGTTTCTTGACGTTGACAAACCTTAGGAGCTCAGGTTAGGCTCAGGCAATTTAGAACATCAGTGAAGTGACGTTGTGAACGCTGGAGAGAACGGGCTGCAACCCGTCCTCTCAGACCAAGTCCATTCCACCCAGCGGTCGACCCCAAAGACGCATTCATCAATTTTAACATGCTGTTCATTCACAATAGGAATTTTCTTAAATATAAATTAATATTGCTATTTGGGCAAAAGTTAGGTTAAGTGTTTAGGTTATATTGGCGATTATTAATATTTTTAGTACGTGGGTGAAGCATTTACAGCGTTGTGGTTTGAACAAAAGTCGTCAGCGAAGCACTTGTTCCAGAACTGTTCGGACGTCATCAGTTCAGTCGTGTGTAAACTATTTTTTCATTCATGAACAGGGGGGTTTGGCGGGTGCATGGAATGGACTTTGGCCATTGTTAATGAGGACGGGCTGTTAGGGGTCCAGAGGCTTCCACTGAAGCCCAATCAGCGCTTCACACATTGCCGGCATGCACTCTGGCAGTGGTCTAGGAGTTCTACCTCTAATGCTTCTCTCCAAATGCACAAATAAATCACATTAACGTGATTTATTTTCGAGTTCTATAGAGCACCGTCAGTCCCAACAGCTGGTGTGATGGTGTACTCATCCCAGTACTCACAGTACCAACAGTACTCATCCCAGTACACGCAGTACCAACAGTACTCATCCCAGTACACGCAGTACCAACAGTACTCATCCCAGTACACGCAGTACCAACAGTACTCATCCTAGTCAACTCTCGAAAAGCCTCCTCATTCATCGACGACAGAAGAGCGTGCTGGATGAATGTTGACGTATATAGAGTTGACGTATAGCAAATATTGACGTATATAGAGTTGACGTATAGCACCTGTAGAGTGAATAAATTGTAATTATTTTGTTTACACAACTGACACATTTCCGTGGCGCCAGGGGCGACCTAGGTGAGGTGAGGTGGTGATTATTGCAACACACGTCAGTCGTGCATGCAAGTTAATTTCCCCCGAGCATCAATTTTGAGCTCAGATTTGTCCCCTGCTGCATACAGCAGCCTTTATGGGCGAGGAGGTCATTATTACCAGTGTTATGATGAAGGTCATTATGTCACCTGGCTCTACATAGCCAGGACGTATAGCCATATACGCCATATAGCTATGGCTATGGCCATATACGCCATATAGCTATGGCTGTGCATAGCCATAGCCAATGACCCCTCGAAAAGTAGAGATGATTATCACATTTCCATGTGTGTGTTTATATATATATTTCCGTTTTATGTATTATTTTTAGTGAATAAATTCGTCTGTTAAGCTTCATGGTGCTTCAGGAAATTCTTTCTTCCTCATATTGCAAACTTTTGCTGACTCGGTCCCACTAAAGGATCCTGTACCTTTGTGGCCAGCACCACGTTATGCATTTGGTGTTAGTGGTTATTGTGGTCCCGGGTTCGATCCCGGGCGCCGGCGCGAGAAACGATGGGCAGAGTTTCTTTCACCCTATGTTCCTGTTACCTATCAGTAAATAGGTACCCGGGAGTTAGTCAGCTGTCACGGGCTGTTTCCTGGGGGTGGAGGCCTGGTCGAGGACCGGGCCGCGGGGACACTAAAGCCCCGAAATCAACTCAAGATAACCTCAAGATAACCTCCCTGCAGCGCCAGAGGGAGATAACACACGACCAGTATCTGGCAGGATCATCCTCCTCATCTTGTGCCGTTGCTGGTAACTAGTGTGGACGGGTTGCACACCTGTCCTAGCACACAGGTGTGTGTTCCAAACACTACAGTATTATCGCACATACATATTCAGTAAGAGTTACGGACACAATGAGCAGATATATAGCGTGACGGACTCGCCGACGGGAGGTATTTCCGGATCCGGGTTGTGTAGTCGAGACAACTTGACTTACGTGCGGGCCACGTGACGTTGTAAGCTTCGGAGGTGACTTGGCATGAGAGGGGGGGGGGAGGTGTTCTTGAACGGTGTCTTGTATCAGGACTCAACCGCCAAGAACAAGAAGGAAAAGTTTCTTAAGCACTTGGGTAACTGCTTGACGGATCTGGCGTCCTGGGCTTGACGTTGCTGACCTCGGCACAGGCTGCTGGTGTTGATTTGACTGACTGCTGCAGATGACGACGACGACGGCGCCGGAGTATTCACATCACGTCTCTGTAATTCATACATCTCGGGCCTTAAAATAGTTTATTTTTATGACTCGATTATAAAAAGCACACCAGTGCTATAATTTCCAATTATAGACTCCAGAACGTGAACTGTTGTAGTTCACCAAAGCGTCCAGGGGAAATAAAAGCTTGGAAATGGATTCTCGGTAGCAGAGGTATATATTATAGGCTTGGGTGGGTGCCTGTACCACCCATCTCCTCATCCGACATCTCTGGCGCTCCTCTGTCGTCTTTAGTAATCTAAAACCTCTCAGAGTCACCGCCAGGATGGTAGGAATTTGTGTGCGTGGGAGTGGCGACGCTGATGAGAGGGCTCGACGCCCCGGAGCGTGGCCAGGTGACAATACATCAACGTTTGTCTGTCTGTCTCTGCCTGCCTCTCTGCCTGCCTCTCTACCTGCCTCTCTACCTGCCTCTCTTCCTTTCTACCTACCTGCTTCCTGTCATTCAAAATATAATTTTGATTGCTATCATCTTCTCTTCTAATCGCCCTATATCTACTATACTTCGTGGCAATTATATTATTATTTTTAATCAAAACACATTTGTTGAATACAATCTCGCAAACGAAATGTTGAAGAGTAGCTCCTTGAAGCAATCAGTAAGAACATAAGGATAAAGGTACTGCAGAGGGTCTATTGGCCCATACGAGGCAGCTCCTATTTATAACCACACAATCCCACTCGTATACATGTCCAATCCACGTTTAAAACAAACAAGGGACCCCACCTCCACCACGGTACGCGGTAATTGGTTCCACAAATCAACAACCCTGTTACCGAACCAGTATTTATCCAGGTCTTTCGTAAATCTAAACTTGTACAATTTAAATCTATTGTTTCGTGTTCTGTCTTGTGTTAATACTTTTAATGCCCTATTAATCTCCCCCTTGTTATGTCCGTTCATCCCCTTGTAAACCTCTATCATGTCACCCCCTAACGCTTCGCCTTTCCAGTGAATGCAATTTAAGCTTTGTTAATCTTCCTCCATATGCCATGTTTCTAATTTGGGGGATTACATTTGTCGTCCTACGCTGGACGCCTTCAAGGGAATATACATCCATTCTATAGTACGGCGACTAAAACTCAACTGCATAAGCTAAATGAGACCTTAACAGAGTTATATATAGCTGTAGAACCACACCAGGTGTCTTGTTACTAACGCTTCGATTAATAAATCCCAGTGTCCTATTTGCCTTATTACGCACATATGTGGATATCATTCTGGATACCACCAGAGTACCGTTGGTGTCGCTGGAAGGTACCACCAGAGTACCGTTGGTGTCGCTGGAAGGTACCGCCAGAGTACCGTTGGTGTCGCTGGAAGGTACCGCCAGAGTACCGTTGGTGTCGCTGGAAGGTACCACCAGAGTCCCGTTGGTGTCGCAGGAAGGTACCGCCAGAGTACCGTTGGTGACGCTGGAAGGTACCACCAGAGTACCGTTGGTGTCGCTGGAAGGTACCACCAGAGTACCGTTGGTGTCGCTGGAAGGTACCGCCAGAGTACCGTTGGTGTCGCTGGAAGGTACCACCAGAGTACCGTTGGTGTCGCTGGAAGGTACCGCCAGAGTACCGTTGGTGTCGCTGGTAGGTACCGCCAGAGTACCGTTGGTGTCGCTGGAAGGTACCACCAGAGTACCGTTGGTGTCGCTGGAAGGTACCGCCAGAGTACCGTTGGTGTCGCTGGAAGGTACCGCCAGAGTACCGTTGGTGTCGCTGGAAGGTACCACCAGAGTACCGTTGGTGTCGCAGGAAGGTACCGCCAGAGTACCGTTGGTGACGCTGGAAGGTACCACCAGAGTACCGTTGGTGTCGCTGGAAGGTACCGCCAGAGTACCGTTGGTGTCGCTGGAAGGTACCACCAGAGTACCGTTGGTGTCGCTGGAAGGTACCGCCAGAGTACCGTTGGTGTCGCTGGTAGGTACCGCCAGAGTACCGTTGGTGTCGCTGGAAGGTACCACCAGAGTACCGTTGGTGTCGCTGGAAGGTACCGCCAGAGTACCGTTGGTGTCGCTGGAAGGTACCGCCAGAGTACCGTTGGTGTCGCTGGAAGGTACCGCCAGAGTACCGTTGGTGTCGCTGGAAGGTACCGCCAGAGTACCGTTGGTGTCGCTGGAAGGTACCGCTAGAGTACCGTTGGTGTCGCTGGAAGGTACCACCAGAGTACCGTTGGTGTCGATGGAAGGTACCACCAGAGTACCGTTGGTGTCGCTGGAAGGTACCACCAGAGTACCGTTGGTGTCGCTGGAAGGTACCACCAGAGTACCGTTGGTGACGCTGGGAGGTACCGCCAGAGTACCGTTGGTGATGCTGGTAGGTACCACCAGAGTACCGTTGGTGTCGCTGGAAGGTACCGCCAGAGTACCGCTGGTGACGCTGGAAGGTACCACCAGAGTACCGTTGGTGTCGCTGGAAGGTACCACCAGAGTACCGTTGGTGACGCTGGTAGGTACCGCCAGAGTACCGTTGGTGACGCTGGTAGGTACCGCCAGAGTACCGCTGGCGACGCTGGTAGGTACCACCAGAGTACCGTTGGTGTCGCTGTCGCCACTAGTCATCTCCGCTTCCGGGAACATGAGAATTACCCCAAGTCCAGTTAGTGTAGTCTAATTGGAGGACCTGAATTCTTCCCAGTAGCGGAGAGAGGGAGGGGGGGGGGGGGAATTGAGGGCGGGTGGATGACTGGTCCCGCGAGGTGGGGGGGGGGAGTTGATTAGGTTATTATCTCTCTTGAGCTCATCAATTTGCAGACGTGGTTGCGTGTCCTGTGTTCGTTGGACTTTCGTAGTTCCTTCTTGCGTGTCCAAGAAACTACGTGTCCGGTGAAGTACTGCGCGCTGATCAGGTGACGGAACTCGCGCCCCGCTGTTGACGCCATTGTGGGGTGCTTACCTACCAGTGCTGACTACGTCGTGTCGCTGCAAGGTAGTTACCTATTTAGGTAGTTACCTATTTAGGTAGTTACTTATCAGTGACTTACGGGGAAGTGAGGTCTAGCTCTTTATGCCCCCCCCTCTCACTAGCATTTTTTGTACCTGTCGTGGAATAATTAAACTGTTCTGATGTTCTAATTATTTGTCGAATTTGGCCATGTGGGCCGAGGTGGCTTCCGCGGCCGAGCCCTCCCCTTGTTGATCGCCCTTACTGGGCAAGATGATTTCCTTACTTTTATTACTCATTTCCGTTGTAGCGACGCCAAGCTCTATGCGTCGAGGGGCGGTAGTTACGTCAAGCTCCATGCGTCGTGGTGGTTACGTCAAGCTCCATGCGTCGTGGTGGTTACGTCAAGCTGTCCTTGGCGCCTGTATGACCTGGTAGGAAGACCTGAAAACATCCTTGATGTACTGTTGCAGTTTGTCCAACTACCCGGGCGGTGTAGAATATGGAGCACTGGAACAAGTAAGGATCTCAATTGCCTTAGGAACCAACTTAGTGTACTTCTCTCTTCAATTAGAATGGTCGATACTGCAACGGCCTTGCTTATTGCAGGGTCGGCGTTCGATTCCTAATGGTCCAAATGTTTGGGCGCATCATTCCTTCACTCCGTCCCAACTATTCATTCCAAGTGTTATATAACCATACTGACTATTAGCTTTTTCCTAATTACCTCGTGTGCTGCTTAGAAAGTCAGTTTTATGGAAACATTTCGAGATATAAGCATTTTTTTTCAGAGTTTTCTACAGGTAATGCCATGCAAAATGGATGTAACAGAGCTGGGAAGGAATACATACATGCATATAAGAGTATCAGAAGAGATAACGAGAATGATATTGATATTAAAGCAAACCACCAAAACTACTGCATAGTCACGTAAGAAGGAAAATGACGGTGAATGACCACGTGACAAGACTACGAACACCGGGGGAGGGGAAATGTACAGGAAGTGATGAGGAAATGTGCGAGGTACAGAACACCACCAGTTGCCCCGGAGTGTTGAGAGCCCGGCCCGACCTGCTGTCAGTGGTAGCACAGGTGATAACCTCTTAGAACGGAGATGACAGAGTGACAGCTGACTGAGGTCACAGACAAGGTGTTAACCCGAGATGAGAGTGACAGCTGACTGAGGTGACAGACAAGGTGTTAACCCGAGATGAGAGTGACAGCTGACTGAGGTGACAGACAAGGTGATAACCCGAGATGAGAGTGACAGCTGACTGAGGTGACAGACAAGGTGTTAACCCGAGATGAGTGACAGCTGACTGAGGTGACAGACAAGGTGTTAACCCGAGATGAGAGTGACAGCTGACTGAGGTGACAGACAAGGTGTTAACCCGAGATGAGAGTGACAGCTGACTGAGGTGACAGACAAGGTGTTAACCCGAGATGAGTGACAGCTGACTGAGGTGACAGACAAGGTGTTAACCCGAGATGAGAGTGACAGCTGACTGAGGTGACAGACAAGGTGTTAACCCGAGATGAGAGTGACAGCTGACTGAGGTGACAGACGAGGTGATAACCCGATATGAGAGAGTGACAGCAGACTGAGGTGACAGACGAGGTGATAACCCGAGATGAGAGAGTGACAGCAGACTGAGGTGACAGACGAGGTGATAACCCGAGATGAGAGAGTGACAGCAGACTGAGGTGACAGACGAGGTGATAACCCGAGATGAGAGAGTGACAGCAGACTGAGGTGACAGACGAGGTGATAACCCGAGATGAGAGAGTGACAGCAGACTGAGGTGACAGACGAGGTGATAACCCGAGATGAGAGAGTGACAGCAGACTGAGGTGACAGACAAGGTGATAACCCGAGATGAGAGAGTGACAGCAGACTGAGGTGACAGACGAGGTGATAACCCGAGATGAGAGAGTGACAGCAGACTGAGGTGACAGACGAGGTGATAACCCGAGATGAGAGAGTGACAGCAGACTGAGGTGACAGACGAGGTGATAACCCGAGATGAGAGAGTGACAGCAGACTGAGGTGACAGACGAGGTGATAACCCGAGATGAGAGAGTGACAGCAGACTGAGGTGACAGACAAGGTGATAACCCGAGATGAGAGTGACAGCAGACTGAGGTGACAGACGAGGTGATAACCCGAGATGAGAGTGACAGCAGACTGAGGTGACAGACGAGGTGATAACCCGAGATGAGAGAGTGACAGCAGACTGAGGTGACAGACAAGGTGATAACCCGAGATGAGAGTGACAGCAGACTGAGGTGACAGACGAGGTGATAACCCGAGATGAGAGTGACAGCAGACTGAGGTGACAGACGAGGTGATAACCCGAGATGAGAGAGTGACAGCTGACTGAGGTGACAGATAAGGTGATAACCCGAGATGAGAGTGACAGCTGACTGCGGTGACAGACAAGGTGATAACCCGAGATGAGAGTGACAGCTGACTGAGGTGACAGACAAGGTGTTAACCCGAGATGAGAGTGACAGCTGACTGAGGTGACAGACAAGGTGTTAACCCGAGATGAGAGTGACAGCTGACTGAGGTGACAGACAAGGTGATAACCCGAGATGAGAGTGACAGCTGACTGAGGTGACAGACAAGGTGATAACCCGAGATGAGTGACAGCTGACTGAGGTGACAGACAAGGTGTTAACCCGAGATGAGAGTGACAGCTGAATGAGGTGACAGACAAGGTGTTAACCCGAGATGAGTGACAGCTGACTGAGGTGACAGACAAGGTGTTAACCCGAGATGAGAGTGACAGCTGACTGAGGTGACAGACAAGGTGATAACCCGAGATGAGTGACAGCTGACTGAGGTGACAGACAAGGTGTTAACCCGAGATGAGAGTGACAGCTGACTGAGGTGACAGACAAGGTGATAACCCGAGATGAGAGAGTGACAGCTGACTGAGGTGACAGACAAGGTGATAACCCGAGATGAGAGTGACAGCTGACTGAGGTGACAGACGAGGTGATAACCCGAGATGAGAGAGTGACAGCTGACTGAGGTGACAGACGAGGCGGTAAACAAACAACTAGAACCTGAACAACCATCATCACTGGACGACACTAGAGGTGTTGGACCAGACAGCGCATCACCGTGGTTATTAAGAGAGGCAGCACAGGGCCTCAGTCTGCCTCTAGCAAGGATCTAGAGGCAGGATCTAGAAGGCAAAGGTGGCACCAATCTTCAAGACAGGAGATAAGGAAGAGGCACTCAACTACAGACCAATATCACTGACAAACATCCCCCCTCCAAAGTACTTGAAAGGATAATCAGGATAAAACTAGTTGCCTAGAGAGAATTAGGTATATAAATAAACAACAACATGGTTTTAGGAAAGGAAAATCCTGCCAAACGAACCTACTGGAGGTTAATGATCAAGTAATGAAAATAAGGCAGGACAGAAAAGGCAGGACAGAAAAGGCTGGGCAGATTGAACATTTCTGGACTGTCAACTGATTTCTGGTCGTAAAAGGCAGCAATCAGAAATTAATATTACGCCAGTCCGCCCTCTCGCCTCTTAGGCGCTGTTGGGACCAATATTATTCCTCACGTATGTAAATGACTTGCCTACAAGAGTTGTGGTAACCGACCTGTGAGATTTATATTTATTTAATTTATATGAATTTATATTTACGTTAATTTATATACTTCGATAGCAATTTGTATAATGATAAGTGGACTGTATTTCTGCAATAATCTCATAATCTCACAAATCGATCCTCTACACATTAGGGGGGTTTATTAAATTAATATATATGCAGCCAATCAAACTACAGTAATAGCTACATACATTGATGAGGTTCCTTATCTTATAGTACAGCAGGTTAGTCCACCAGGTATAACTAGGGTGTAGACACCAAATTATCCTCTTTGAGGTAGCTTCCATATCACCCAGTAACTGGTGCACAAATCTTGCATCCTCGTCTTGACCTGTCAAAAGTGCGCTAGCTGTGAAGCCAGATACCTATATATGACAAGTATATCAGAGAAAACAGTACATGGAACATGAAGACCTGGCTTAATTACCTTTAGTTTGAGGCTTCCATGTGATCTAACCGGGTCACCCTATATCCTGACATTAATGGCCATAAATGAATGATAAACGGGTTTCGGATAGACTTAACTTGAATTGTAGACATCGTGTTGGAGATGGTACCTTTGGTTTCCATAACACTACGTCCAAGTAAAATTAACAGGAGCCGTATTTGCTCCCGTGTGCCTCTGGTCTCGTATACACAATGGCTGTTTAACACTCCATACTATTGACGTTACTGGCCGACATTGTCCAGAATGATAGGAGCCGAATTTGCTCCACACGTCTCGGAGGTGACACAACAATGGCTGCCCTCCTTCCCCACTGACGCCTGGCCTACTTTGTCCACATGTCAGAAAGTGATAGAAGGGTCACATTTACTCTACTTTAATATTGATAATTAAGTTAATTTATATAAGATGTTTTTATGATGGTAAAGTCCAAAGACTAATGTATTTAAGAACAATTCCCAGCAGAATAGCTGGTGAATTATAATGGTATGTGGTGATGATATCCCGTTTTCTTTAGACGGTAATTCCACTACAAGTTACGTTTTCTATGGGTAACTTGTTGGTAATACAGCAGCTATTATCTGTATGATTATTAAA